AAAAATTAAGAAAAGTTTTTAAGATAGCTATGTTTGGTAGGTGTGGTTGTGGCCATGCCACACATTATTTTGATAAGATTATATAGATTTATTTAATTTGATTATATTTTATCAATTTATAAGACTTTTTTAAGGATAAGTAGAATAATTTTTATCTTTTGAGATTACGACATGACAGATTATATAATATATTTTATTATATCCATGAGTATCATCAAATATGGAGTTATTATCCGTTTTCAAATTAGCATCACTAAATGTTTTTTCCCATTCTATGAATAGTCCAAATTACAAAGGAGGCCTAAATAGTTAGTTATTAAAAATATCAATTTATAAGTTGATTTTAGTTTATTCAAAAATAAATATTAATTATTTTATTAGTGTAACAATCAAATTAAATTGAATTAATATTTTTAAAATTATTACTGTGCGACATTGACATTATGGGTTGTGGCCATAACCACACTCATCATCTTCTTCTTCTTCTTCTTTTTGGACATAATTGGTTCTTGTTGTATGAGTGTTTGGAAACAACAATGGGAAAGAAATTAGTAGAGGAGTTGATGAATTACCTCTGCTTAAGGAAATTACATAGTGTAGCTAGCAAAAGATAAGTGCCCACCACAAAACCATAACAAATAAAACACAAATGCCCTATTTTTCCCTTAATCACAATTGCTTTCTTGGGATAAAAGCTTCCCCCAACTTTTCCCCATTGTGATTCACTTACAAATTTTTTCATGAAAATGTAATATTAACTTTTCACTGAATCTCTCCCAAACCATTAGAAGTTTAAATATTTCATTTTTATCATGTTCTTGATATATTTTATTATAAATTATTTAATAGAGGCAGTCCTTTATTTTTCTCTCAAAATCTTTCATTACTTGTTTTGAGATTCATTAAGCAAGACTTTATTTTTTAATTAATTTATCAGAATATCCTTTAAATTTTAATTGCTGGCTGAAATTTGATTGGACAAATGCTTTTCTTCCTTGCAAATGATTTTAATTCCAATAATGATTGGGACATGATAACATCCATTAAATAGTTCCTTTGCTTGGAACATGAAAATCACATCTGAAAATTGGTTGGTTTATATCTTCGCTGGGTTATGGGGTCCATATGTTTGCCATCTTCGTTTATATTCTCTTAATATTTCATGAAAGTTGAATTGATTTCTTACTTACCTCCTAGTTGAGATTGAAAAATAATAAAGATACCCAAATCAGTAATCACATCATTTTGATATTGTCAAATGATGAAAATGGAGTTTTGCAATCAGTGGTTAGATGGGGCATGTTTCTTCAAGTGCAATTTTCAGCACATTTAATGAATCGGACATTCGTGCTGTCTCCTGTGCAATTATTTTTATTTATTACACTAGAATAAAAAAAGAGACTCTCCTTTTTTTCAGGTAAAAATCAATATTAACCCCTCACCTTATAAAATTAATAAGTTTTAACCCCTCATCTTATAACATGACAGTTTTAACCCTTTATCTTACAAAATTGATAAATTTTAGCTCCTCATCTTATAAAGTTAGTAAGTTTTAACCTCTTACTTTATATTATGATATTTTTAGCCCATCACCGATATAAATTAAACGAAATAACCATCATCTAACATCAAGTTATAATGTTTTGTTAATTCTGTTAGTTGACAGTTAATAACCGTTAATATTTCATTATAAAAAGCATGAAATTTAAATTCAAATTTATTTGTTAATTTCATTAACAGAATGCTAATAGATGCTAACAGTTAACTAACAAAACTAATAGTCAGCTAACAAAACTGATAGTCAGTTAACAGAATTGATAGTCAGTTAACAGAATTGATAGTCAGTTAACAAAACTGACAGTCAACTAACATAACTAATATAACATTATAACTTGATGTTAAATAAAGGTTATTTTCTTTAATTCATATAGATAAAGGGCTAAATGTGTCATAATATAAGATGAGGAGTTTAAACATACCAACTTTGTAAGGTAAAAGGCTAAAAGTGTCATATTATAAAATTATGACTAAAACCTATCAATTTTGTAAGTTGATTTTAGCCCTTTTTCCAATTCCAATACTACCAAGCTGCAAATAGAAAACTATTAAATTAGAGAAACTTAGTATCATTAAGACTGCATAAAACATTTATAATTAAAGAATATAACTATTTGACAGACTATGATTGGATTTTCTTCTATTCAATCTTGAGTGACACGGAATAAAAGCAATCATTTCTTATTTTTTAATTCACTTTATTTCGCATATCTTACCTTTTAACCCATTATATCTGCATTCTATCCTATTTAGACTGTGATTGCTTTTAGATATTTGTGGGTGGGGAAGAAGGAACCACGTCAATCCATCTTTGGAACTAGGTCCCTCCCTTGGCTTGCTTCAGCCGAAAAGAGGGAAAAATAGAAACAATCTTGTTAGCTTGGCCTTTTCACCTTTGACTACACTCAAGCAACTCAACAACCAAAGTTAAACGAATAGATCATGGCAGAACATATATTAACCATTTTAGGCATCAAAAAGAAGAGAAAAATATATGACCAAAATGATGGATCATATCTTAAGCACAAAGAAAATTTCTACTTTTGTTGCAAGGTGCGATGGTCATTTTGACTTTCTAAGGATATAACATAATTTGATGGAGAGGAAGAAGAATACTAAAACATGGTGAAGAAAATTACAAATTAATGGAAGTTCAAGTATCCATCAGTATCCATGTTTATTCCAACAAGCATGCATGTCAATAATTCCACGTTTCTCACAGAAAAGGACATCTGGACTTCGTTAGCATGAAAATAAACAAAATTTTATTCCAGTATCATAGATGATCTACACTATAGAATGTCAAGAAAAATGCATCATGGTAATTTGCAGTACTCTTTTGATGCGTTGGTTGCTAATGTCCTGAAAGTTGCAATTAAGTAAGACTAATGCAAGTAGCATATGATTGAAGTACCATTAAAGCTTGTTCTGTGATTGCTCTATCCCTTGCACGTTTCACCCAATCACTGACTATCTCCTCCGCCTGGCTACCTTTGACACCTTCTTCAAGAGCACTTGCTGCTTCTGCAAGCTTTCCGTCAGATAAGTAATTCTCAACTCTACAGATTACAGATTCAATGCCTTCACCAGATTGGTCAACTTTTTTGACCTACATGCAATGGTAGATAGACAAAGACAAACATGAGTAACATTTTAAAGGGTTCGATGGAATTTGAATCCAGGATCTACTACAAAAGGTAAATCTCAAATTTGCATACCTTTAACCAGGATGCAACACGTGCTAAAGAATGTGTCATGATGCCACCACCACCTGGTGGAATTAGGCTGAAGTGTCGAAGGGTCCCTTCCAAGGCCTTAAACTGCAGGAAGAATGAATGTTGACAATAAAATGTAAAAACAATATTAACAAATGTAGGGCACAGAGTTAGTACAAAAGAAAAATTACAAAATGCAGCAGCATTATTGAATTCCTTGTCTCAGAAAGCCAGGGACAGGGAAGATCACCAATAATGAATGTGGTGAAAGACAATGACCGTGTACAATAAAAATTCTACTTAACAAAAAGAAAAAACTGACAATAATTTTTAAAACCTACTTCCTAGAAGTGAAAGCAAACCAGCAACTAAAAGCTCCCAAGATCAGACTTTGGATTATTGTGAGCAACACCATATTCAATGTTACTGCTACGTTTCATTTCAGTCTTAGAATTACAACATTGATGCAATAACTAGAACACTGAACTACTACCAGTTTTTTACCATTTATATCCTGGTAGATTATTCAGTACATGGAATGAAAATAATATTTTTTCCTGAGCAAAATTACATAACCTACGGCAAAGCCAAAGAAAAAGGTTAAAGAGGCATATTTCATTCCAGTAGCAGAATTCCAGCTAGACTACTATATACTAGCTACATCAGAGAGACTACTAGTTTCTACCATTTAGCCACAATTTAGAAAGATTATGTTTAGGTAGAAAATTATGTTGGACACAACCAAGAGTAAACTCAGAACTTTTTCT